GCTTTTTGCTTTATTTTATTTTGATTTTTTCTTTTTCTTTTTCTTTTTCTTTTTCTTTTTCTCCACCAGGCAGAATTTGAAGCGTATGCAAGGACCCTGCCCCACTCTGAAACCTCCCTCATCACCCGTCTCACCCTGACAGGCTGCAGAACGGCATCTGGGGGTTTGCTCTCTTATCGTCTCGTCCTGCCAGGGGAAGGGAAATGCACCAGGTCAGAGAAGTTCAGGGGTTCCCCTGTTCGAGGGAGGGGCCCCTACAAGCACAGGTAACACCGGGTCTAAAGCTGCCAGGACCGTTCATGGCCTGATTCAGTTGGAATCGCCCACCAGAACCCTTTCAGCCTTGTTTTTCAAAACTTTTCTTCGCCCCCAAACTTTGGTTAGGCCGTCGCTTTCGGGTCAAGGAGGAGCAACGTCTCGGTTCCTGGATGCTCCCGCGGGGCAGGAGCCCTGTTCTCTGAGAGTATGTCTGCACGACAGAGTTGTTTTGGAAACACGGCGGGTTTTCTGGAAAAACCTCACTTCCGTCCACACTGCAATCGTGTTCTTTCAAAAAAAAAAAAACCCCAAAGCACGGAGGGGTTTTCTGACGTTGGTAACCCTCTTTCTACGAGGAAGAAGCCTTTTTGCGAAAGAGCTCTTTGGGAAAAAGGCGTGTGTGGAGGGGGAAGAGGGAGTTCTTTTGGAAGAAGAGAAAAGCGGGAAAAGTACAGGGGCCCTGGTGGCCGCTCCGTCCATAGCGATCACAGCTGACATGCGAGAGAGCCTCCATTCGGTGTGCATGCTCTCTGTCAAAAAAGCAGATGGCTGTTTCGATGCGCTGTGGCCGCGTGGACGCTCGCTTTCGGAACACGTTTGTTTGGAAGATCTCTTCCGAAAGAAGCCTGCAGTCTAGACGTAGTCTGAGCCGCTCCGGCAGGGAGGTGAGGGGGGAGGAAACAAGGGCCAATAGTATGATGGTGGCCGGTTCATTGCCTGACTCCTGTTGCAGGTAGGAATCTTTCGCTTTTCTTCTTTTCTTTTTCTTTTTTCACCTTTCTCTTTCTCTTTCTTCCTCTTTTTTCATCTTTCTTTCTTTCTTTCTTTCTTTCTTTCTTTTCTTTCTCTTTCTCTTTCTTTTCTTTTTTCACCTCTTTCTTTCTTCCCTATTTCTTTTTCAGTTTTTATTTTTGTTTTTATTTTTCTCTTTAGCTTTCATTCTTTGGTCATAGTTCATCAGCCCACGTACTGACGGTAAGTATTTTGTTTACTGATTATCTCCTGTTTCTGTTCCAATTCTTATCAAGAGCTTGTGCTTGGCCGTCACTATGTAGGCTCCATCTGTTGTGTCTTCAAGTGAGCCGAGAGTCACTTGATAATGGAAATAGCTAACAGCTTTGAAACATATGGAAAAGAGTAAGGCATCCAGAAATGGTCTCTGTATTTAACCTGAACAAACTCTATTTTAAGATTTGTTCATCCAAAGGGAAAGACAGAAAGGGCACTAACTACTAAGCTACATCAGGAAGCTGCTAGAAAATTGAAAAATAATGTCATTTTATCAGTATTTCCCCTGATGACAAGATTACATTCTGGTATGAACAATTCACTGTAGCTAGCCATTATCCAATAATCTTACTGAATATGAATCCATTATGTACTTTCAGTATCCAGCTAGGCTTTCTTAATGCAGGGTTTAAGCTGAGCCACTTCTGTAATCTTATCATTTTTTCAGAGCAAACTGCCAGAAATTGTTTCCTTTAAAAGTAGTATGTCTCAGGGCCTGCATTCTTTCAAAAAAGGGTTTTTCCCCCCCGAAAGACCTGAGTCTAACCTGCTTGCTTTTTCGACAAAACCTTTTCCGGTAACACGGTCGGCAGAAGATATGCAGATTAGCTCCGAATTTGCATATCTTCCTTCGGCAGAAGAAAGCAGTCTAGATGTAGCCTCTGTCTCTCTCTGTCTCTGTCTCTGTCTCTGTCTCCCTCCCTCTCTCCCTCCAGGAGACAGGGGGAAGCAGCAAGTCTGCCGAATAAGTGTCACCGCAAGAGACTAATTTAGAAGCAGAGCTGCAGGTGTCAAAGGAGACCACTGAAGGACGGAGGGGACGATCAGGGGCCCCAGGTACTGACCTGGAGGGGTTTGCCTTGGAGCAGCGTGCTAACTGATGCTGTTTCAAGTGACCTTCCGGGAGATGGCTGTGTATTTCTCCAAGGAGGAATGGGCCCTGCTGGACCCGGGCCAGAGAGCCCTCTACCGGGACGTGATGCGGGAGAATTATGAGGCGCTGCTCTCCCTGGGTAAGAAGCCAGGCTGGCTCCCTCCCAGCGGCTCCCCCGGGAAAACCGGCCCAGCCCTGACCCCGTCCTCTGAATCGGGGCGGGTGGAGCCACGCCGGGGCTGTTGCAGGGGGCGCAAAAGGGTTATGGAGGCAGACTCCCAAAAGGGGAATTAGGGCCTCTCGGCGTTGAATGGTTCCTTTCTTATCCAATAGAGTCTCTCCCCAAAGTTCGGTCCTTTCCCGCGGTCCTCCGGCCGTTTCTGCGTTAGGTTTGTGTTTCTCCTGGTGGTGCGCATGCCTCAGTGCATCAAATAAAATTCATTCCGCACATGGGTGGCCAAGCTTGGCGCCGACCCAGTCTGTCGGGGGCCGCCGATCCCCACCCACCTCTTCGGCATGCGAGAAGGCCCTGAACCAGTTTGTGTCTTTATTCCCAGATGGGAAGATCCCCTCTCTGCCCCGTCACCCTCTCCATGGGATGAGGATGTTTTTTTGTTTTTATATTGAGTTTCCCAGGTTACTGCAAAGCCTTACATGTGGGGGAAGGCGGAGAGGGGGAGGGGCTTGGCTCCCATGGGGGCGAGATTTTTTCGGGGACTCCCCCTTTTTAAAAAAAAAAAGCGAAAACCTCCTTTTCTTTAAGGAAGAGCATTTTTTTCTGAAAAAAGGGGGAGTTTCCAAAAAAACCCATCTACTTTCCCTTTCGAAAGACCCGCTTTTGAAAGTGAGATCAGAAGGAGCTATGCACATTCCCGCAGAATGTGCATAGCCTCTTTCAAAAATAAAGCACCGGCTAGACAAAGCCGAAATCTGGGACTCTGGGGAGTGTGGTTTTTTTGTTTGTTTGGGGTTTTTTTTAGGAGAGCCTATAGAGTTTTTAAGGCAGTGTCACTTAAACTTTTTAAGACCAAGGAACACCGAACAATCATTTTTTTTATGGGGAACCCCAAGGATTTTTTGTTGAGGAAAAAAAAAGGTCGGGGGGAAGTGGATGGGGAACACGGACCCCAAACAGCCGCTTGCCGCCACCTGCTCCCCCCCCGGGGCCCAGCTGA